TACACCCCCTCCCTCCAAAAGAAACCTACCCTTCATTAATTAATAGGACTTTAGACCGCGTAATCTGCATAACTGTTGAGAGTGGGATATGTGATGACCAGAAGTAATACAGAACCATCATGAAAGGGAGACGTGTATTCGTGTACTTGGGGGGGGGTCCGTTCTTAGACTCACCGCTAAAGCGTGTCCTAGGTCCACTCATCAACAGACGGGCGTGATTCGATGTGTAATTGTGCGTGCGGGTTGAATACGGGTGTACCACCCAACATCCGGGGCAGCGTGTTTTTCCCGGCGAGTGTTCAAACACAGGACACGGTCTCGCCGACGAGAATGATGAATGGCACCCTTTTAGAGAGTTTTGACAGAGTTTCCTGGGAAATTGTCCCGAGGTAAAACAATTAAGACAAGGTCTTGCAGTCGTGACAGTCGGAACGACCGAGCGATTCCTCGCCCCCCAAGTGTTGTATTTTTGTTTTTCAACTTTAGACCTTGGAAGGCAGACGGCGCGGAAAATATCGACGAACTTAGTCGCGCTGCAGGAGCACTGATACTCAAAAATATCAGAAAAGGTAACACAGCTGTGGTATGTCAAGCTTGCTAAGCAAATTACGTGTAATACGAGCCTGATGAAAAAAAGTTGTGAAGTATTTGCCCAAAGCATAAAGTAACTGGTATTACAAGTCCCTAGAATTTGTTGGGATGGCTATTTTCGACTGCATGGTTTAAGTCACATTTTCACACAAAGATTTTAAGGACATATTGTTCCCTTTTCATTGGCAAAGACACCGACATCGCTGCATTTGTTGGCTCAAGTGTGGTTTGTTATTGTGCATCACACGGAATGTACCGATTAGTCTTCTCCTGAGGTTCAGTTTGGTGTCTCAATTTCTTGCATGGGCTCGACAGAATACGTAATGAGGGTTTCCACGAAAAATTTAGGACGTACTACGTTGGAAATGCAGTCGTACCTCCATGCCCGTTACCCGCGAGGAGCGTATAAGCAAACACCGGCCGGTTTATTTGCTCATTTGACGGCAGGTTGCGGTATCGCCATGCCTGCTCGTTGACACAACGCTGTGGCTTCGGTTTTCAGTTATTTTCCCACTCCCTAAAACAACACTTGAATCGATCGTCTCTCTGCACCATATTGTAATTGAATCTATATTGGACAGAGGGTACAGAGAGAGGCAAAGTGAAGAGTAAACTTGAAACAGATTTTTGTTTCATCGTCCTAGATTTTCCAGCGCAGGGTTTGTTTGTTATACTAATTCAAAAAGGAAACTTTGATTTAGCTGTCGAGCTTGTAGTAAAGAAACTAGTGGTTTGTTGGCTGCTTACAGACCAATCGTTGCCAAGGGTATAAAATGGATTCCTTGAGTAGAATATCTGGCGTCCGATTGGCTCTCGTTGTTCCTACGTCACGTGCATTGGAACTGAGATTGAAAAACGGCCGGGATTATTTTACATTTCCTTTATAAACATCATGAGCCCTTCTTGCCAAAATAATAAATCAAATACAACACAGAGAAAACCCAACACAGCTTGCCGTTGCTTATAGCTCAGTAAGAGGTTTCAACCCCTGTAGACTTGCTGTAGCCAGTTGTTCCCTCAGTTTGTTTGAATAACTCAAAAATGTGCAAGAGACGTGCGTGTTAACAGTAAACACTATGCAGTCGCAGGCTAGGCTCAGAGTCATGATAATTACTATGTCAAATTGTCGTTAGTGCCCTAATTATTATATACCATCATTTGGCATAAGCAGTACGTGGGTTTAGGAGCAAAATATACACCCATTTTGTCATCTTTCAACCATTTCCATCCTTTTGACAGCAGTTTGGCCTGGTAGGCAGCTGCATGCGCTTGCTCAGACACGAATTCAAATGACCAATGACGTACCGTACATAACGGAATTTCCGGGAAATTGAAATGGATTTAGTGTTGTCTCTGACGCGCAATACACGTATTGCTCAATAAAAAAACACTAAACAAAAAACACAAAAACACAATTTTTTCACGTGTGTATGTTCTAAAAAGGAATTTGAATGCTGATTGATGCATCAAGTAAATTCTGATTCTTTATTAAGCTAATTCAAATAAATTGACTCCCAGTTTGATGTACTGGGCCGGAGAGATCAAGGTAGGTCCCTCTGTAATGACCTGGCGTAATTGGCATCATTTTTACCAGTCTTTTATTGAAATGCCGCGTAAACTGAGGCGAGGGTTCTCCACTGCCGACTTGACGTTTACGGAGCGTGTTTCGATATCAATGCCAGGGCTTGCACTGATGTAAGTAAACACGGGTCCTGTGTTCAGAGAAAGGAAGTTGTTCAAAATGACGAGTAAAATCCAAGTTAATTAAATTCGAATGCATCCTCCGTGCTGGCACCGGTGTTCAAGTAGACTGAGAACTCCGTGCTAATTTCATGTCGGTATCAGTTAGGTTACAAGGGTTTGGCTTATTAAATTTTGCCGGCCCGTTGCAACATCAGTCACTCTTGGGTTAATGATTAGTTTTGGAAGATTATATTTTGTGAGTATATGTTTCCTTGCGTTGAATTATTAAGTGGATAGAATGTGTTTAATTGTATGTTAGTAGCAATTTGGTCAGTTCTTGCAAAGTTAAAGTTCTAAATCAAACAACAATAATATTTCGATTTTTTTGACTGTGAACACTGTAATCTTGTTTACCTTGTTTAACGAAATATTTCTACACACCCTCGTCTTTGGCCGTGTTACAACTGAACTGTTGTCTGTCAGTTATATTATTCATACAACATTTGGTGTCATTATATCTGCCTGGTCGATTTAAAAGACTGGCAAAAACCATATGTGTTTTTATACGCTGCTCTACCTGAAATTAGTTGAATGAAATATACTGCAAATTCGACTTGGCAATTACTATATCCGAGCGTTGCACATACCGGAGTTGTAGAGTCATAAGCCATAAACTTCCCCCTGGAAAATTAGAATTTTGCTGGCAGCCCGACGAATGAAAGGAACCGGCGGAATTTCATTTCGGTGTTCGACTGTGTCGCACGCAAAACAGCGCCTACAGGTATATAAACAAGCTCTAATGAAAATAATTGCGTGGGAATTAAGCCGTTTCTTGAGCGGCTCTGGTGAAGCACCAGGGACGGGAGAGGTTCGGGGAACCCCTACCCGCGCTAATTGCGGATCATTCTTTGGCTCCTGTTTGTACATTAACCGGTCTCCAGGGCGAGGCACTCGAGGATGAGGGTGCTACCGCGCTCTCCCGGCTCAAGTACGCACCGCGAAAGCGAGGTCCGTGTTCGGTTCGGTCATTTATAGTCCTCGCGTTGACAGTCTCGAGGCGGGCGATATTTGGCCGTCGTCACCAGTACTAGCCAAGGGACGACAGCATAGCAAGACATCAGGAGTGTTCTGTCGATTAAAAATCGATAATATTTGTGTTGAACTGATCAATACGGTATCCTTCTTCCGTACTGATCCCCTATCTGCCTTGAGCAGAACCACCCCTTGTCAGTTGAAAGAGCAATGTTAGTGGGGATCGATAATTTTGTTGGTAGCGATGCGACCGTAACGCGTGCATTTCATAGTTGTTCGTGAGACAGCGAAATTCAGTTCCGACCAAAGGAACCCCTTTGTTAATAAAATTGCGCCCTCTCTTGGTCCAGCTCAAACTGCCTGAGTCGTTTTAGATGCAGACTGCATATCGAATCTCCCGTAGCAGTCATTTCATCGTGTATGACATATTCGATTGTATTTTGGTGAAAAGAAAATACGGCTGTATTGAATGGCTATCTTAAAACCTCCTTTCCAAATAATTGGCTAGTATCTTTAGCTTGCCTTATGCCTTTGAAAGACGACATAAATTGTCCAACGTCATCCCATTGACTTGATACTGAATCTGACATCTGAAACGATCCCTGTAGTATTAATTTGGTGACATTTCAGACAGGGCACCCAGTTGTGCACATATTTCTTCAGGAGGTCTCAGAAAGTAAATGAACTGCGGCTAGTACATAAGTTGTGTATATTTAATTGTTGGGGGCACCTCGGGTACAGACTTCCGCTGAGAGGCCCTTCCGCTTCCGCAGGGTGGGGGGCACGTGCCCCGTGCCTGTATAAAGTCACATCACGAAAGAGCTGCTGTATCTTTAAACTGTTTATTGAACTTTTTTTGTGTGCTATAAGCACATATATTCCCATTACTCAACAACGTCGTGATAAAAGCTTACGAGAGCAACCATGTACATAGGCTAGCCACTTGAACATTAGCATTCTCGACGCTACCTCTTAGACTCTCCTACAGACGCTCGAGAGAGACTCTCACCCTTACCCGGGAATTTCAACTAGAGGCGTAACAAGGATACGGGTTCAAGGGGAACTGCGCCTATATTTTGGACCCTGGAGTAGCGCCTCTACTGGCTGCGCAGTCTCCAACACTTCAGCGTGCTTTTGTTTCAACATGACGATGACTGGATAATTTCAGAAGTGAAAAAAGAGAATTCAGTTAACGTTTGAGCCGTGTATGGCACAAGTATTCCGGTAAAACAAAACTGCTCCTGTTTCGACTCTGGAACGTGTGCAATCCTCCAAAAAATAATGGAACCCTGTCAACACTTTGTTTTTTGTTTCAAGACAATTCCTGCTGCTGGCCGTAATACGTTTATCCTCGAAGGTAATTGAGCTCTTGAAAGCCCGTGTGTTGAAGTCACACATTGTTTTGCTTAGCTGCATAGCTGAAGCCAACTGATCGTATCATTTGTGATAATGCCATTTTAGCTCCACTCAACAAAATTACAGGCTTCAATTTTGATACGCTGATCGGTTCTACGATCATAGTCATGCATTTAGGGAACCAGACTGAAGCTGACAGCTGCATAGGAGCCAGACCAACATCAATCCTCACTGTGATATTAAATTGTTGAATTGGGAACCAGCCAGAAGTAGATAGCCAACGGATTAGATAAAGGAACCACTTTCGACCGAATGTGATGTTTATTTTCATTTTGCAGTAATCATCCAAGCTTACACTGTAGAGTTGCACGACAATCACGTGATGCGCGGAAACACCGCTGTGTTCAAATGCGCTATTCCTGCTTACGTCAAGGATTACGTTGAAGTGACGTCATGGTCTCGCTCGACAAATCCCCTGACTTCTGGTAAGTAGACACAATTTCTACCAAGATAAGCCTCAACACCTGTCTATCAACACAAGTTTTGTTCTATTAGGCTTGGATACCTTTGTCCGAAGCATGGTCTTCCCCTAAAATGTAAGAAATGCTATGTACATTAAACTACATTTGTGTAACACTATTTTTGTAGAAGGGAGATTCAGCATTCTACCTACTGGCGAACTCCACATCCGGGACGTTCGTGACGAGGATGGAACGGGTTACCAATATCGTTGCTCTACGAAGAACCGACTGACCGGGGAAGTCAAAGTCAGCCGAGCAGCGCTGCTTAATGTGGCGAGTGAGTTCAAGGTTTTAAAACGGAACCAGTGGAAATCTGTCTTGCATTCTCATTTTTTGGACTATTATTGTATCCCAAAGTACATATTCGTGGCTTTAAAGACTGTATGGAGTACCGAAGTTTAACGTCATTTTGAACCAGGAAGTGTAGTGCAAACGAATGGAGTGCGCACGCGTGTTGGTTCACGCTCTGGTTCTTACGCTAATGCCTTTTACATACATAATTGTACGGTAGTCTATAGGCAGTTGATGAAAACTCGACTAGATTTGCCTTGAACGTTTATAAATCACGACTAGTTTGAGTTATGATGTTGCTGAAATGATATAAGAAAGGTCGTAACGCGGAAACAAACCACTTTTATGCGCTTTCTTTCACTGTATGTGAACACATTATCAATCCTTGTGCAAAGCCAAATGTCGTTCCTTAAACTTTGCTAATCCATTCGCTGCCCCAAAGCAACTTTCCTTCTTCAGATTTTTGTAAATAACCCTCATTACTTCTACCCACTCGGTATAGTCTTGGAAATTTGTTTGGAGCGTCTGCAAATTGTTTGAATTAATTACTCTGTCAAGAACTGCTCAGGGTTTCCGTTTCAAGAGTGCAGACAACCCCCCCATTTAGTTTGTGAGAAATTGTAGGTTTCATTTTCGGGATTTTCCACTGCCCAGATCCCACGAACACAGTTCCCGAGATGATAAACAGCCGGCGAGAGTACGTGGGCAAAGTCGGGGACGCGGTGGAGTTGCCGTGCGTGGCCAGCGGCTACCCAATCCCCACTTACCACTGGAAGAAAGACAGTCAACCAGTTATCTTGGACGACCGCTTGACTCTGAAGGGAGGCAACCTGCTGATTAACAGGGTGCGGCTAGAGGATGACGGGGTTTACGAGTGTGAGGCAACCAGCGACTCCGGTAGCGTGACTGCTAGTCGCCATCTTACCGTTCGTGGTAAGCTCACCGGATTGACATTTTCGTAAATTTCGGTATTTCAAAGCAAGGTCATTCGGGAACGAGTACGCGCCCGAGTCGACAGGGCAGACTTCGCGCGCGTATTGCTAGTCCTGAATGACCTTAGACGCACTTCAATTGGGGCATGTGTTGTTGAAATAAGTGGCTCATGTAATGTGTGCTTTTACTTTGAGCCCGCCTCACTGCAACCACAATGTTACCTATGAGAAATGGTCGTCTTTTTGGCGTGGGCTTTCATTTTCAATTTGCGCACGCTTTGTGGTAACGTGGCAGGAATCTGTCATCGTTACCTCTGACGCAACTGCACCCAGAGAATCGAGTACAATTTTTGAACTGGACCTGGCATTTCCTTCCATTTATATCAGAAACGAATGTAAAATAGCTTCTGTCTTGAAAATGCTTCGAAGTCCCCTTTGAAAGGCTAATTTTTTTTTAAAAGAGCAGGTTCCGCAATTTTGTTCATTTTGTATGCCGATGCAATGAAACACAATCTCTATGAGCTTTTTAAAGAGACACCTTCTCCCCAAAATTGCTTTAAATGAACACAAATGTAGAGGAGCTGAGAGGAATCCAGTCAAAGGGAACTCATTTTATTGATATTTCTCATGTCAATTGTTACCCAGGGACAGTGCCATGAAATGTTATCTGTCAGGTTTCCGGAAGAGCCCTAACCACTCGGAAATCATACGCCATAAACACTTTTAATGCTGATGATGCGGTCACAGTTCCCGTGCCAAACCTGCCGATGGTCACTCCGAATGTTCCTATCATCATCAACCAACGTGCCATACCTGAGGCACTTATCCACTCGCAAAAAGTGCCTGAGATCAGTCTTAACAAGCAGCAACGCAAATATTCACCCCAACATATGGTCAGACTGAACACGGCTCAGCTTTTTCTCGTCACAGTACAAACATGGGTCAATCAGTATTACTTATTACTTCAAATTCTCTCGAGCAAGGGTTATTACGACAGAACAGACTGACATTTGGTATGTAGCGTGACTATACACCAGCATAACTGTGTAGTGTTTAGAATAATAACGACTGATTGATTTGAAACATTTGAAAGTATAGAACGTGACCTTTCCGGTGTAACGGTCGCATTTATCCGGCATGTTCGGATATCCGGGCATTAACCGAACACTGCCGAGCGACCCGATCTAGCACCCGAATGTATGCGCAGTAAGTCCCGTTTTGTTCACTTTTATGGGTGTGCTGAGTTCCTAACAACGTCGACTACATATATTGGCTGCGTGCGATCACTCAAGTCATGCTAGGAAACAGGGTATGGCGCTGCAAGATCTTACCAACGAGAACGAGGTTGCGTATGTACATGTACTGACCGTGGATACCTCTCCATCGTCCTCATTCATGGCTCGACCATAGAGTTGGATACTATATCCAATTCCATTGGCTCGACGTACGTGTATAATGGTTGCACCACTCACCTATCTCTTGCGCAAAAGCGGCAAGTCAAAGTAATTTCCCAATCTCCCAGTCTCATCTGCATTTCTTCGTACGCCCACAGCCACCGCGCGCGCCTAATCCTCAGGAGTGGAGTCAAAGACCAGGACGAAGACCAGAGCAAACCGGTCGAAATGTCGAGTTCACATTCAATTTCCTATCAGAAACATACATCCTCCAAAAAGGATTTATCCACATGGTGTAACCGCATGCCCTCTCTTTACTTATATCATGATCTAGCTTCAAAATACAAGATCCATGGTAATGCGGCAGGTGTCCATAATGGGATTATGGACGGTCTGTAGAGCGCTCCTTAGGTAACTAATTATTAACTATAATTAACCGTTATGGAATGTTGAGGTGATGTAAAGCTACCCCAAGCACATTCTGAGAAATCTAAAATAAAATGTCTTCACAACCTCTGAAGGTTTTCGTTTTTCCTCCTCGTGTGCTCGTCAGAGCCCCTGGCTGTGTACTTCTACCCACAGCGTCGCAGCGTAGACGTCGGCGCCTTCGCCAATTTCAACTGCACGGTCAGCGGCTACCCTATCGAACGGGTGACTTGGTACAAGAACGCCCAGCCACTGGACGGCGACGACCGGGTGACCATCTTCGACAACGGCACGCTGGAAGTGTCGGACATGACCCGTGGAGACCGGGGCATGTACCAGTGCGTGGCCAGCAATAGCTGGGAGACCAAAGAGGCAACCATGCAGCTGTCAATGGGTGGTAAGGAGAATTGCACTTATTTGAAGGCGTGTTACCAGACCCCTCCCCTTTTGTTTGAGATAGAGTAAGCAAGTGATATTTGTCAAAGAGAAACTTCGGCTGGCATTAGTTCTGTCTTTATTATTCAACTCGTAATGCCCTTTTTACGATTACCAAACGTATACCTTGTTTTGAAAAGGCGAAGCTGTTCTGTTCGACTTATTAATTCATTCACATCGATCTCTTCTTTTTTTTTGATATGTAGTCCGATTTAAAGACGGTCTTGCTGCAATTAAATCTGAGTCGACAATGTAGGGATTTATGGACAACAGATAGATGATTTTTTGTTACAGTTGAACATCTAAATAAACTGTCTTATGTCTAATAAAACTGGGTAACCAAATTTGAAATCAGCGCCTTAATTTTCCCATTGCGGCTTGTTAATACACGTAAATGAGAGTCATTAGTAACTTTGGCGAAGGAGGAATTGGGTAGCAATTAACATAGATTATTGGTACAGGACGCGAGCAAAAGCTTGCCCCATCAGTATCCTACACATCCTCTAGAAATCGCCTTGTGTAAATATTACGTTGGTTCGTTATGACAAAGAATCCTTTAGCCCGTGTGAAGATTAGGGGAATACATTATATGTAAGTGTACTACTATTCCATAAAGAACGTAGTTCTTGTAATGCCGGGTGGATATTGATCTGGGATCGATACGCGATCATTCATGTGGCACGTGCCCAAAGTGGCTTCTCCACCATAGCCTGATACTTCGATCGGCGACATCCTGCGAGCCACGACGAACAAAACAAAGTGGGTGATCCAAGCTAGAGTGTAGCTGAGACTGAGGGCTTTCCCGAGCAAGAAAGCAAATAGGAAATCGAAGTCAGCCCTCAGAACAAGACCGGAACACTTTAAAACCACATCGCCGTAATGACCTGTGTATGTACTGTAATTCGCAACCCCTGTGGCACGCGCACGTATGCCAGCCGAGTGAAATCTAACACCGCCTCTGATTGGGTCCCAGGTGGCTTCCACATCACGCTGGGCCAATCAGAGCTGCCCCCACGGCTCGGCTTTCAGGCGTGCAACTCCTAATGAAAGCTGGACAGATGGCAAAGCCACCAAAGTGCAATAGAGATATTAGTAATCCCGTTGGGCACATGCGTACACACTTCTTAAGTGCCATCCTCCGCAATTTGTGTCACAATCCAAGGACTAGTTTGGTGGTGTTTTCGACGCTCGGTAATACTAAGCCATCCTTTATGGGGTTCCAGATGAACCAATTCGTAAACGCTCGGACATATTGTCTCCTTGTGGTGTTCTATTCGATTTGGTCAATATGTTTTGCAGATGAATCCATCATGAGCAACGAAGTACTCGACGGAACAGGTAAAATATGCATGGTGGTTTCACTTGAGACGCACAGCTTATAACCCATAATGACGTCACGTAATTTGCATCTGAACGCGTGACAGCGTAGTGCTTTGTCAAATATTGCATTTAATCGAAAGGTCTATTTTGAACATGTATGAGTGGTTTTCAGATTTATAAACATTGACACTAACACACTAGGCCCAACCATCAACTAACAACATTTTAAGTACAATAGTATTGTATACATTATTTTTTAATGAAATAAGTTTGTCTCTTAATAATCGTCCTTTCTTAAAGTAAGAAATGTCCCCTTGAAACTTTGTGCTTTTGATTATATTGCTTTTGGTGCTATTTTCCAGCTCTTTGACTGAAATATTCCATGCGAGTGTTGACATAATCTTTTACTTAAAGGACCCCTTTTTAAAATCCGGGCCCAAGGGTTAATTTAGATTTCCTTATGAAGTCATAAAGTTGCCATTTCAGGTTTTGTGAAAACCATTGCACAAATCGATCCTACTTTTAAAGATATTCTGCTAAATGTTGGTCAAAATACCATTTACCTATATTCTGGTGAGATTCTTTGTTTCACAAATAACCAACATATTTATATCGCACCATTGGGTGCATTTAAATCACGACTTCTAACTGTTTAGACTTGTGCACTCCTTGCAGTGGACTGACTAATGCATTATTTGGCTGAGCAGTCAAAACTAATATTTTTATTTCTTTGTACTGCTTCAACCCCCTAACAATCTTAAATGCTTGTTTTATTCTAAATGATGAATTTGTTCAAAACCTTATTCATTACGCCCGTGCATACCTTGGAATGTCTCTGACATTAATGCCATGACTATTTTTTTTTTACTAAAGCATGAATTTCTCCCATAATTTTCTCAATATGCAATGGAGTGGACCCTTTGCAGGAGTGTAATTACTAGTGATATTTTTATGAAATGATTTCCTCACAATTACAGCCGCCAAGCCAATCCTGCTCGACCACTTCACCAACGAGACCCTTCAGCCGGGGCCCAACCTCCAATTGTCATGCACAGTTGCAGGAAACCCTACCCCTGAGGTCACGTGGTATCGTGACGACGCGCCCATTCCGCCAATCAGCAGGTACGCCAACAATGACGTCATCAACGCTGACGGGGACGTGGTGAGCTACTTGAACATCACCGGCTTACGGACGATAGATGGCGGGCTGTACCGTTGCGAGGCAACCAGCGAGATTGGTGTAGCGAGCCATGAAGACCATATTTTTGTTATAGGTTTGTGTTCTTTGCCTTTGATATCCAAACGATGAAGAAACAAAGTGAAGCCATTAAAGAGGATTACACAAACTTTTTTTCTTCTTTCAAAGCAAGCATGTCTTGATGAAAATAATTTTGAAATCAGGCCATAGACCTATTCGCTGACGCCTTAATTCTGCGGTGTCCCCGTCACTCAGGCACACATTCCTAAGCTTGACGAGCGCGCGAATTTGGTTTTAGCAGTGTGCTCCCATTGGCTGATGAGGAAGCATTCAGTGTGCATCTCTTATGTCCACTCGCGTACGGACAACGCAGTAATGGCTCCTTATTCTTGTCACTGGATCGCTGTATACGAAACAGCTTTCCGGAACAATGGGATGACATCAATAAATTAAAAAGTCGCAATGTGTTCCCAGTAATACCCAGAACTACTTTATTTGATATTCATTGACAATGAGTTCCTGTTTCCTGTCTTCCAGCATATGCTGCTTCATATTGAACTTATTCGGCGAAAACAAAGTGAAATTTAATTGCACTGAATGAGGCATAGTACAAAGGAGATAAACACAAGGGGTTCATTATGTCCTTCCTTTGCCCATTCAGCATCGTTCTGCTGCCTATTTATTTACTAAGAATTGTTGGCTTTTTTATTTGGAATATTTTTACTATTCAGACAAATTGCTAGATAGTTGGGCGATAAAGAGTTTTGTGCAGATTTGGATGGTTTTATTTGACCGTCAAAGTGCTATGGTAGGTGGCTGAACTGTTCACAGTGAGAAATGCTTTGGGTAAAACTTCAAGAAATATACACAGATTTTCGTTGTAGTCTCCCAAACGCTTTGAAACAACACCATGGGAGCCTCTGGTGCGTTGTAAAAACCGCTTTATCTTGTAGTTTAGTTTTAAAAGGTAACAGTGGCATATGGAGCGAGAATTCTAACTGCGTTATGGCCGTTAGGATAATATGATTGCAAAGGCAATCAACTCGACAGACACAGAAGCCCGTAATGTGTGTGGTATTATTCACAATTCCCCGTCTTTGTATTGCCGAAACAATTTAATTAATAACTTACTTGTTGCGGCGCTGATCAACGACGCACGTGCATACTTGATAAGTGAATGTAACCGTATGGTGCACATTGTTCTCCGCCGAAGCCAATACGGTAGACTTAATGACATTTTTGAAGGCAAGAACCTTTTGAAAATCTGACAACTATTGTTGGGAAATTATTATGGCGGCACGGGTGCTACAGTGTCTAATTACAACACCCTGCGATAATCATTTTGCAATTTAACTGTGTTTATGCTGTGCAAATATGTTGGTAGTTAACCTGCGGTTGAATTCGTGCATGCGTACAGCTGTATGCAAATGATGGTTTAATAGGCTTTTCTCCCGGCGTTAAGTGTTACACGGGGATTATCTCAAGGATCGATAGCACGTTTGCGAGATAACCACATGTGGCTTTTTCGGTACTCGCCTATGTGGCATACTGAGTCACACGAAACGCAATTATTGCAATAGTACAGGGCTCCTACATGCGGTGTAAAAAGGCCAATTTTCAAAATTTATGAGTAGGAGTCAAGGAGATATCTTTTTTTTCACGTTATGAGCTAGCATCCAGTGGCATTGTTACTGGTCAACGCACACTGCTCAGTGATGTCTCCGCCCATCTACTCAGAGGCCCACGAGCGCCAACAGCTTCATCTCCTTTTTGAAATTAATTTTGCACGAAGCACAGATATCAAATAGGTACACCAATATTAACACCAGACTGTGTTCATGCACTTCATCGCTGTAGGCTAACAACATCAACAAGGCTTTACACATTTTGACATAAGTCAACTGTCAAGGCCAGTAATGAGTAGTAGCATAGCAAACCTCCCGTGGGGGGGGAGGGAAGGGGAGGGAAAAAGTTTCCATGGAGGTGCAGTTTCCCCCTTGTCTCCCTTGGCTAGATGGCCGGCTCTTCTCACAGGGAAGAGTTCCCATGGGGACAGTTGCCCCGGCTACGTCACTGCCATTCGAGTATTGTTAGCTCCCTCCGTTGCACTAAAAGCTTACAAGCACAACTGCACGTGCCTTTGCCCTGCAATTTAAAAAGTCAACAGTTACAGATGTACAAACTGGAGGATGCCGCATCAAACATGGAGAACCTTTCCTGGTAGAATTCCCGCTTCGCCTCAAGACGAATTTCATTGTCAAACAGGCCCTTCTGATTTGTCGTTTTCTGTTGGTTCCTCCCCTGGCTTTATTCGAGTCAGAGCTGTAAAGAGAGAGTAGCGCCAACTTCCGACTTTGGAACCAAAATTGCCGTTCATTATATGTGCAGTACAGTATAATCCACCATTTTGGCTCCGACAATTTAGATACTCATGTCACAACTAAGACGTGAACATCCAAAATGACGTGTCATTGCGAATAGCAGAACATTTTGATAAACAAGATGAAACTTGTAACAGGAGTGATTCGTTTTCCCACCAGGCCCACCTTTTGTCCGTCCCCTGCCCAACATCACCGCAGTTGCCGACCGCGATCTGACCGTGCATTGCCGCGTAGTGGGCTACCCGATTCAGTCCATTACCTGGTCCAAGAGGGGCCTGACGCTGCCAACTAACATCCGGCAGACGGTGCACCCCGACGGGACCCTTGTGATACGGAGGGTGGAGCAAGGCCGGGACGAGGGGGAGTACGTCTGCACGGCACGCAACCAGCAACAGTTGACCCACTCCCAGAAATTCACGCTTGCTGTACACAGTAAGTCTACTCCATAAACTCAAAATACTGTAAAACGCCCGCGAGATGTTAGCACTCCGCATGATTTCTCTTTTTTCATACCCCTCAACAGTTTTTAGCCTGTGCTTACTGTACTCTCTGTAAGTTTGAGATAACCACTGATAAGCACGCTCCGTTTGATAGTTGAGAAGTAGTTACCTGACATAAATATGTACAAAAATGTGTTATCCAAAATCTCTTCCTCTTATCCTGCTTAATTCACTAGAATTAATAGAAAAGGCCGAACAGAATTAATTTAAAGTATAGCAGACATTCATTCTGCGCTCTCATGCAGGAGTCGCACTCCAAAGGAGGAGATTGCGGTAATTCATTCAGTGTTGAATTTTTCAGCCTTTGTGTAGTGCTGAATCGAATTTGCTAGATTAGGCTTTGTCCATTTCGGCGCACTGAAAATGAAAAAAAAAACAACTTTTTATTCTCCCAGTTCCGCCTGAGATCGCCCCCTTCTCGACTCCACCCTTACCACAAGGCCAGAGGACCCAACTCTTATGCACCATCCCGAGGGGCGATGTGCCGATAACTATTTCGTGGCTGAAGGACGGCGAGCCGATTCCCCCCGGCATCGGAATTACTCAAAGCCAGACGGCTTTCAGCAGCTCCCTGCTGATACTCGATGCATCACCCGTGCACGACGGGAACTACACCTGCGTAGCGAGTAATATGGTTGCTACTGTGAACTACACCACAGAGCTTGTTGTTTTGGGTGAGTTCTCTGCTGATGTTGGCCCACTTCGTGTACAGGTATATTAATAAATGTAAACGAAATCCAGAGACCCAGTGGGCGTAAATCATGGGGGGGGGGGTATATACCCCCACATTTTGAGGGCGATGGGCCCTATTAAATCAACCCCCACGCACACATATTTGTGGTGAGCAAAATATTAAAACGAATTGTGAAGACATTTTTGGACTTCCAAACGGCTGAAATGCATCCAGTCTCGTTCAAAAAAGGAAATAACTTTTAAAAAGCCATGAATAGAGTCCAATGCCTTTCTGATGTAAGATAGATTCTGCATGAATGTAATGCATGTTTAATGTACATCCATATCAACGAACATCGACTTCTCTTAAAAGTCAAATGGTGTCATCCCTCACCCCGCTTTTCAAAGTTTCATGGCTGGGCAAGTCATCCCTCCACCCTTCCCCATTCCCCCAAACTCCAGCAAAAACTTGCGCCGTTGCCAGAGACCCCTTAGATGCTAACACTTGCCGTTCATAGTAGTGGCCGGCCCCCGTCAGTGGCGGGAAGCATTGTGATAACTATTGGAAGGAGCCTCTTTTCCTTGACAGTTTCTCCGAAAAAAAACCCAACCAACACATTCCTTCAGGCATTAGAAAGGGCCATTGCGATTGTCCAGTTAAACATCAAATTATACAATCATATTTATTCATTTGATCCATTGGTGGATCCAGTATCCATAGGTGAAAACTCCATCTCTTATACCAGGACTGATGCATTCACATCCCGAAACACTCTTTGAAGTAATAGTACATTTTGATGTGTGATATCTTTGATATCTTTGCAGTTCCTCCTCGATTTGTCTTGCAACCCGAGGACACCTCGGTCGTGTTGAATCACACCGTCTACATCCCCTGCGTGCCTGACGGTAAACCCAAACCGGTAGTCGTCTGGAAGAAGGCAGCAGGTACCAACGCCTTTATCCTACAGAAGGCTTGGCTCCATTGCAAATCCGGCTGCAGACTATGTCACTTAATCTTGAAATAGGGGTACATAGTTCAGTACAGTCAAGGCTATCATGCATTCGGCGGCACTTTGGGAATGAAACATTCAGGACAGCTACGATCCCTCTCAAGAGCTGCGTGCAAATAATTCACAAACGCTTGTAAACGTATCTGCATTTGCCGGGAAGTCATACATTTTGGTCATGCATTCAGAGTGCGAAATTCACTAATTGATTCTACAATATGCATGGCCTTAGATATATTGTTCCCGGTGGGTAATCAGTTGATTACCGGCAGTTGCTACCCTAATATGGTGTCAGCGGTGGGATTGGAACAATTGTTTACCGTCGTACACCATGCTTGACCCATCTTGAAAAGCTACAATGTTGAAGAGAAAAAAAACACTTTCTATTGATTGGGAACACGTGACATAATCTCCAACACATTCATATAACTGCCATCATATTTATGTGAAATTTGGAAATAGGACCAGGAGCGTCCAACTTTATGGACCTACCCGAGGACACGAGGATCTCGGTGACAGAGAACGGTTCCATGATGATAGAGGAAGTGGAAGAGGAGGATGGTGGATTCTACCTGTGCCACATCTCTAATGACGTGGGAAGTGACAGCAAGACCGCAAAGCTCTCTGTCTTCCGTGAGTTCCCAATGAGTCAGTTCGATATTCCAAATGCCCTTGCCCAAATAAAGCGTGTATGAGGTCATTCGGGACTTGCACAAAATACAGAATTGGTTTATCACATAAAAACAACCACGCTCTAATTCCATATCTCTACCTCTTGATTTACAGTGCAAAGTAAGTGAACGAACAAAGACTGATCTTTAACTCTTTATACAGAATAAAATTTGATATAAACGTCTTTTAATCCACGAGCGACCCATTATCTCTGATGTAGAAGAATTTTTGTTTCAAGAAATGTTTGTACTAGTTAAGCTTTGCTTCAACTTACTTCAAACTGAAGAACATTACACAAAAGCTGTTGTCGGGTTTGGATGATTCACGTCATTGAAGTTACAGAATAACATGTTGCAAAGATGTTACAAAAGATTTCTGGCTACCGTAGGTTTTGTTTTCGGATGGCAGGTGAAATTCCTACATCTGTGTCTTTACTGTTAGGATATAATTTAATGCTTTCCTCAAAGGACAATGTCCTTAGAAATTTGAAACTTTTAACACTTATGCTACCTCAGAATACCTACGGGACTCGTAAAATAAGGCTCTGTTAAGAACTTGTGATTGAATGAGAACCGTGCTAAAATGTCCAGACACAATTCTTCTACCAGTCCCAGCGAGGTTCGACGACCACGAGGAGAACATCACCTTGGACGCGGGCCAAGACGTCCATATCGACTGCCTTGCGACCGGGCACGACCCCCTGGAGATCCAATGGCGCAAGGACGGCGTCCTCTACACGCGGCTGGAGCTGGAGGGGAAATTCGAGATCCAGAACGTCGCGGCGCGGAACTCGTTACGATCCGTGCTGAGCGTGTTCGGGGTAGGCCGGGAGGACAGTGCCGTCTACACCTGCCACGCCGAGAACGCGTACGGGACGGACGAGAGGACGACCCGCTTGTGGGTTCTTGGTAAGGTTCTTAGCTGAGTGACGCAAAAGGACTTCGTATCCAGCATTCCGTTGAAGAACGGATTTTTGACCGTGTGACCGCAAACATAGCCTCTATAGTAAACCCTTTCTGAGTCCAAACATACCTCTTGTCCAAACCTCAATATCGCCCATTTGTGCTCTCCATTTTTTTCCAAGAATATATAAAAGAAAAAAAAAGTGTCTGATTGGTACACACATCCGGTATTTACTTGTGGGTTTATATTTTGCAGAGCCACCAGAGCCGCCAAGCAATCTTAGCGCTTTGGCCATCACGAGCCGCAGTGCCACGCTAGGTTGGCGACCGGAATTCGACGGCAACAGCCCCCTGACTGGTTTCACGCTGGAGTACAAGAACGGCAGTGGTAGGGTCCGGTCCTTGTTCCGAAACTGTTTGCACTGCGTGGGATGCATTGTAAGAAGCCAATTGGAGTCACAACGCGCTGTAGGCCTCGGAGAAAGAAAGAATAATACTACCGTGGGCGGGCACAACGAGCATGATATCTTGGGTTGCTTACACTCTAACATGCTTTACTGGAAAAGGCTTTCATGACGGGCAATTTGTCAAACCTTTGATTTAGGTCACTTTTAATATATTATTACAGTAAGATACTAAACCTTCTTAACTGACATCTCATTAATTTCGTTAGCCAGTCCACAGAGGTGGGCTGACGCCTGTGCACTACACACTCCTTAAAAAACTCCCACAAATGAAACAGTATTGATTGTTCCCGAATTTTCCATGTTTGCAGATGCCTGGCAAGGTGGACTCCCCACTGCGCATGTTCCAGCCAACGTCACCAGATACCTGTGGACTATAGCCAAGCTGCACCCGTACAACACGTACAACGTGCGCATCTACGCGTTCAACGCCATCGGCATCAGCGAGGCCAGCACGGCCATTTTGTTCACGACGGATGAAGAAGGTTGGTTATCACAGTAGCGCTTCGTCCCTATGGAAAACAATAACATCTTTTGCTGCCTGTTCTAAATCAATCGGCTGCTGTGGTTTACCATGGTGCCAGATATCTATTTCGCATCAGTTCAGATTAACTCATGTCACCTTGTTAATGCCACATTATGGCTTTCTGTTGAAAACATTCTGGTTGTAAATTGCACATTTTAGGTAGTAATTATGAGCTCCAATAGGGAAAACTACCTGCCTGAGTGTATGTAAACTAGTCCTTTTTGGGATAAGGCCCAGAATTGGTAAATGAAGCAGACACAAGAAGAGGAAATTTACACGATCATTATTCAGGCTTGGGGATGAAAAATGACTGAACAAGATGACATACGATAGGAGGATAGGTTTATAGTAAATCATTTATAGATGATAAAATCAACACACCTTGAATATTTTTATTGGGATTGGTACAAGTACCACAGTGTTTTTTTTTGTTATAGACGTGGTCATACTGACACAAGAAGGAGATATTCAATCGGATACATGTTTGGGTACTTCTCTTTGGCAAGTCTATGTATGGTGTGGGTTTATTTCTAATCAATTTGCAGTTCCATCTGGGCCGCCGTTGAATATTGAGATGGATAGCCACACGTCACAGTCCATAACCATCACATGGAGAGTAAGTCTGTCACGTTAGTTTCTCTGTTCTCTGAATATTAAACCTGACATTTTTGTAATGAGGTATTTCCACTCTGAGCGCAGTAGTCTACAAATGCATGTGTTTTGCATAGAAGCATAACGTGCCTTTTGAGGGATGCAGCTAAAAACTGTTGGTTTGGTCTGCGACACAGCAACCACGGGCCGATTTGCAAAACGGCGTCCTCCTGGGCTACCAGATCCGCTACAAGGATCGCGACTCACCTTTCCAGACGATATCAATCCCGGTGGAGACTGGATACATCGAGACGTACACCCTGAATCACCTGAGGAAGTTTGGGGAATATACCATTCAGCTAGCCGGCTACAACCGCAAAGGCATGGGCCCATGGTCTCCAGAGAGGAACATATTTACACTGGAAGATGGTGAGAGCTTACTGCATGAATGTTTTTAGTTTGAGAGGATAAGGTCATTTGCCAGCATGCGCATTTTTGGAACTAAAAATCTATAAGCTGATTTAATGGATTTTATCAAATGCAAGAATCACCTCTAATTTATCAGCCTGGGCGAGAAATAAATAGAGAAGCGAATCACGGCTCACGACTCCTTTGACGAATTTGAACTATACCTTTTTTGAACTGATTCGATTCGAGTTTGTGATTAGGTGTCACAGTTTTGATAAACTTCGATTCGATTTCATATGATTCTGTTCCACTATTTTTGATTCTGATTTTGATTCGAATGTATTTCATTCAAGCCCTTCGAGCCGATCCTTGCAAATCAACACCGTGTGTCTTCACAGAATATATCAAAATAGGTTTGGTATTCGTCCACTGCAAAGAAAAGTTTTGATATTTTTGCGAGGACTGTGGGAAATTTGAACTTGTCCTCTTGTTCTAGTACCAAGCGAGCCGCCTCGGACTGTGAACGCTGTACCGACTGGACCCACGAGCGTCATGGTCATGTGGGACAGTCCAGCCTCCCAGGACTCTCTCAATGGTATCCTGCAAGGCTACCGGATTTACTACGAACCCGTCAGAGAAGATGAAGGTAGAACAAGTTTATATAAAGATGCAATTCGGTTAATTTTTAATCAGAATAACTAGTCAATTAACTTTCATTCAGTCTTACCAATTAAAAAAATCAGCAGCTATTCAGTTTCATAAACCAGGACCTACAGAGAAACGTCCTTAATCTTAGGTAAACTCGCTTGCTGTCGCCTTGCAGTTGATTTAAGTACTAGATTTCAACTTCTGTATGTGCAAAGGGCACCTCTTCTTCGCCAAAGCTATTGGGGGCACTTTAACCAAAGCAGTGGTCATGATGTAGATAGGATGAACGTTTCCTGCTGGTGACATTCCTCTGTTCCCATGCAATCACCAGTAATATTTCTTTGTCTAGATGAGACTGACGCGCGGGTCTACGAGACCTTGGAGCTGAATGCCCATATTTACAACCTGCAAAAGTTCACCAACTACAGCGTGGAGGTGGTTGCCTACACCAGGGTTGGCGAAGGAGTGAGAAGTCCCATTATATTCGTCCGAACGCAGGAAGACCGTAAGTTTAGCGACCCGGAGGTTGCCGGAGATGTACCCTCTTGCACTGTTTCACTTTCTGTACTAGGGAGGCCATGCCCCATTATCTAGCACGCATGTGCAGAGGCCACAAGGATTTGGCAAACAGTTCAACGCGAAACGTAAGATTATATTCTTACAGATTCGGAAAAATGCAGATTATGCACATTTTTTATACGACGAATTGGGTATAAACCAGTCATTATTCTTAATGAGGGTTACATGCAACGTGAAACGGTTTGATGCCGTGACACTGAAAAACAGGTTTTCTGTTGTGTCGAAAGATACTCTCAGGAATAAGCTCTGAATTTCTACTCCATTCATCAAATGCTACTTTGTCTCATCTGCCAATATCAACAAACCAGTAAGAAATATATTAATGTTTGCTTATCTTTGTGGAATTTAAAGCGGGTTGTGGTTTGGACCAAAATGTAGTATAAGACTCAGCATTTCGCTAGCCTCTCAGAATCATACAACCTCCAGCTTTTTCGGCAGCAACACACTTGAACCTAATTATTTATCTTTTGTGTCAGTTCCTGGAGCACCTGCAGATATCAAGGCTTATGCTGCTTCGCCCACCAGCATCATGGTTGCCTGGTTACAGCCCCTCTCCATCAACGGTATTCTACTCCACTACTACCTCTACGTGAAGTTCATGGAAGGCGAAAACGAGGTAGGTGCTCAATATTCCTCGGAAACAGTTTAAAGGGTAATATTACATTACACTCTAGGAAATGGGGGAAAGGAAGGAGAGTGTACTTTTTTCAGTACTCGCAGGATTCTGGGAAACGGAATTCTTGTATGTATTCGCTTCGAGTCGAAACACCCCCTCATCGGTTGAAAAGAGCCATTGTGGTGGGGAGTGCTCATTTTGCTGGTAGATATGCAACCGTAGCGTGTGCATTTCATAGTCGGTTGTGAACCAGCGAAGTTCAGTTTCGACCAAGGAGCTTCCATTGAAACTGCGCTCTTTCTTGGTAAACCTCGACGCTCATAATCGACACAGCCATCTACGCGAACTAGATCATAAGTCAGTGCGTGCTTTGGTCATTCAATGATGGATCAATAATTCTCTGAAGGTCTGCTTGAGTTTAGAAAAAAATGTACAAAGATTTACAGGGTGTCTAAAGTAACATGCAATTAATCCTCATTCTGACAAGATTTGGAGTGGAACAATCGGTAATTTCTGTTTCTCAGTCTGAAGAACTACATGCCTATATGACGAGCTAATTCCTGTCAGTTTAAAGACCGTGTACCTTGTCAGCATGCCAAGGTATATCTTTTTTGAGTGGGGTTTTCGCCATTTCAGTTTCTGATGCATGCGTAAAGCAACAAACAACCAATAAGCATTATACTCACTTGGTATCATAGGTTACCAGAGAGTTAGAGCTTGACCCAGATGTTCATCACTACCTGGTCAACGACCTCCAGACCAACCACGAATACGATTTCTGGGTCCGAGGCAAGACCGTCATCGGGAAAGGGGAATCCAGTCGAGTTGCCACGGAAATCCCAATGACCAGAGGTAATGGAAAGTTGTTTCTCCGCTCCAAAAAGGATTTTGTTGGTGCTCTTTCCAGTGGATGTGTTTTGTTTTTATTTTAACCATACTTAAACAACCAGAGGAACAGCTTGCTTATGAATTCGAATGTTATATTTTGTTTTCTGAAATTTCTTTTGGCAAATATTAATTTCAGGGGGAAATAGCCTCTTTTCTCTCGTGATGTATATAATATTTAATTGCATGTATTTTGTAACATGTTGGTGTCACTGTAAGGAGCCATATTTAATTGTGGAGGCAGTATAGCACACAACGCACAGTGGATATACGCAGGTAGATCTAATGATATCTGAAAGAACCAGCACACTTCATGTCTGGATATCAGCTTTATCGACTCTTGACATAATTTGCCCATTTGCAGTTCCCGCTCGCGTGATGTCCTTTTCTAAGACGATCACCACGACGTGGAAAGACGATGTAACCATGGACTGCCTGGCAGTAGGTGAACCGACTCCTGTCATTGAGTGGAAGAAAAACAGGTGAATTGATCGAGCTGATCGGGGCTCATGCTCGCCTACCTGCTTGATATAAACTATTTAGCAGAGAAATTCACAAGCACAACATTGTGGCTGGTCATTTTTTTTTCTGCTGAGCCATTTCTAATGTGCTTTGCAAATCTATAGACGAAAACGCAACAGTGGACAGGGTGATCAGGTGGAGGGGCTTGTTGTTTTTGTCGGCGGGGAGTTGTTCTGAAGTTCTTGTTGGAATCTCGTTCAAATGGCACTTTAAAACATTCCACTTATTCAAATGCCAAAGTATTGAGTTACAAAGTAAACATTTTCAGCTAACCCTTTTATTGCACTCCAGGCGGCCCTGACCCCCTAGGTTGCCTGTAAAATCATATTGAAATCGGAGGATTGGGGACTGTTAAGGCTATAAGGACAGCATTCTCCTAAACCAAAGGCTCTTGTCCTGAAACAACTTGGCGTTAGTTCATATGTAGTTCATTTGTTCGTTAAGCAGTATTTGGTGCGAAAAAGGATACCCTTCATGCATTAAAAACTAAGATGTGTCCTTGGCTGTAATGTAAGATATTTTGGACAAGTTGGTTATGGTTGGTTGGTTATTATAAAGGCATTTTTGAGCCATGTACATATCTTAGGTGCTGCTTGAAACAAAGAACACACAGACCAAATACCATTCCTGTTTCTAAACTACAGATCAGTATTAGAGCAGAACGATCTCGTTCAAGTCCTGTCCAACGGCTCCCTGTCTATCCGGAACGTTCAGCCATCGAACGCCGGTAACTACTCCTGCCGGGCCTCCAACAGATGGGGAGCTCCTGACGAAATAACGGTGGCTCTCTACGTCGTGGGTAAGTCTTCCATCCCTCGGGGTGTGGGGTCACCATTTAGGCATAAGTTTGGTTCCACCTCGCATTGAACTATCCCTAGCCTTTCTGCTGCTCTTCTTTGGAGGTGGTGGGTGACTTCAGCATTGTGCCTTGGAATTTATCCCGAAATGTTCTGATTTTGAGTGAAGAGGTTATATATAACCCCCCCAGTCTTCCTACTGAATGCATACCCAGCCTATTTTTTCTGCCTGGTTTCCCCCCAAATGAGTTCACCCCACAATGCACGGCTTCATTGCCACTTTATACTTTCCCATCACGCATGTGTGCATGTTAATCTAAGAAACACTCACCGTGGCAAGAGTCACCCATTGTCCACAGTGTTTATTCGTCCCCGTTCCAAGTGGTACACCTTCTGCATGCTGAGTAATACTGATATCCTCCCTCACACTGGAGTTTTACCTTTGAACTTATCATTTAACTCCATTCTGCGTTGAAAATCTAGAGCATGCGAGATATACTGAAGTTGATGGAATAAAACGTTGCAGACTGCACTCTGCATTCATACGGAATATGTCCGAATTAGACCCACTTCACTTTGAAATGAAATTTAACCTTACGCGTATTGTAAAGTTAGTTGTAAAAAAGATTGGGTCATTAACACGAATTCTAAAGCCCTTGGCCAATTAGGCTCATTTAAAATAATTGCACCTCTACACATGTATTCTCCTGTGAACAGACGTAATTCGAATTGGTCTTGGACGGGGTTATGAGCATGACTAACATCTTGATTGGGGTCTGCGCTTGCACCAGAGTCTTACAATGCTATCACCTTTTATCTGAATTGGTTTTTCTTTTTTTTATTCATTCAAGCACATTATCGCGGCACTATATCATCTTGCCAACAGTGACACTGCATTGCTGAGATTATGAAACGAAACAAAATCCTGAAAGTGTTGATCTAGTGGCCTAATTAAAATGCTGCCTTACTCCCTCCCCTGCACTGCATGTTCATGATAGTTATATTGATACTTAATTAGTAAATCATGAACGATTGATCATATTCTAGCTTGTGTTTGTGTTCTGTTTGAATTTTATTTTCGATGTTACCGGACCGGTCCATCGTGGTGTGTGATGTCAGTTTGGAAAGTTCTAAAATGCTGTTTTGTTGTGTTGTTCTAAAATGTTTATTTCAAAGTTGAAGCGACCTTGGCGTTTGTCCGTTCTGTCATTTGTTAAAAATAAAAAGAACATCTTTGTAATTTCTTGTGCGAAATTGGCGAAAGCCTCGGATTTTGAAATTCTGTTGCAGAGTTATCGGTCTGTTGTTTATATTGTTCGAGTTGAATTCGTGTTTTGTCAGGCAAGTGTTAAATGTAAGTTGTGACGACATCACGTCCGTTGTTTTGTCAGTAACTGAATGAAACTCTTTTTTTGTCTCCCGCCTGATCTGCATGTATTTGCTTACATTAACTGAAACGATTTTGTAACCCTGATGACGTAATGCACGCAATAGTCCGTCGACCAATCGGATGTAAGTACATCGTGACGCACGGCACGATACCTATGCTTTGAGCGTTAGAAATACATTTTTGTATTGCGATAAATCATGAAATTGAACGTTTTGCATGCCTATAGGTTATTGCTTACAATGCAAGCTTTTGGTGTTGCATGATATAGACTAGAATGGTGACAATAGTTTTACTGTGTCTTCATTTCATCAGTAGTTGTTTTAATAATCAAAGCAAATAATTAAGACAATCCAGCACTATTATTGTCCTTCCACGAACCATCAACTAAGATGTTAATAAAATTGATTTCAAGGTCCAAATGTGCCTTGGCACAGACGAAATGAAAGGACGAACATTTACTGTTTGTGGCAAAACTTAGTATGTGCTGATTAGCAATTCAGTTTGGTGGAGTTCTTTCTAGATGTGAATGCTTTATGGGCGGAATGTGGTTTTGTGTAGGCTTCTGTTAGATCTGTAAAGGAATAGCCATCTTGTTTCTTCAGAGACACAGTTAGCCGTGAACAGTGGGGACCATAACGTCTGATTTTCGTTTCAGTGGTGCCCAAATATATGACAAGGTGTCAAGGATGGCCGTCGTTTTGAACAACTGGTCTTTAGTCCCCTGCACTTGTAGCACCTTTCGGTGACATTGAGTCGTGAGTTTCACGAATACAATATGTCATTCTGGCCATTATTAATGGTGAAGAGACCAAATAGGTCTTACAGTTTGCTATAAAAAATCAGATCAATACGTCTCCAAAGATTTTTGCTACAAATGTAATCTTCGGCTTATCACAGTAAACTGCCATATTACGAGTAATGCTGAAAACCCAAAGAAAAAGGACATGGGTGGCTATAACAGTTGTCAATGTTTGTGTGATTTGTTGCTTGTTGCTTTTAAAATTGAAGAATTGTGTCGGTTTGATAAATGTGCCTTAGGTCATAATCTAAACCAGAAGACTCATCTACACGGCATTCGTGAAACTCACAATGAATACAGCACCAGATATACCAGAACAAATGTGCATTTTGGCACTTTGCCCCTGTGGGACCTGGGTGCAGGCGTTTCAAAGTTTTGTTTCTAATATGGGCGATTCATAATAGTGCGCTTCCAAGAGTTTGCAATGCGTTGGCCAATCACAACGCGCAAAATCCGTCGACCCTTTCCAAACGTGCGTTGGGTCGACAGAGTTCGTGAATTGTGATTGGCCAACGCATTGCAAACTCTTGGAAGCACACTTTTGTAAACTGCCCGTGTTGCAACCCGTGGTTGGTACTTTTTCTTAATACCTCCGGTTGTTTAGGCTTCCGTTGGTAAGTATGCATGCAAGGTAACTCTTTAATTAAGTAATCAGGTGCACACACTGCGTTATGTGAAGCTTTGTGAATATGTTTGCCTCCTTGGCACATTGGCAATGCGGTGCCGGTGGATTTCTGTAAAACGGCACAAGATTCCAACGAATGCTGTGTCACTAAACTCTACCATTTCCCTCCGTTGAATTAAGAAGTCTTTAGGTCCACTTGTACAAAAGCAATTGTTTCGCGTCTCAACAGAACAGAGGGAAATGTAGAAATATGAGCTTGCGTTTGGCAAGCTTCAAACGTAGTATCCACCAGAACATATCAAGCAGCTTCTGGATAGAAATTCATGATTACTACTTGATTGGTCCCTTTATATCGTTTCCTTCTCAGCTCCACCTTATGCGCCTATCTTGTCGGTGGGTGCTCGAACAGCCAACTCGATTCAGATTAACTGGAAATCAGGCGGCAATGGCGGAAGTCCGATACTTGGTAAGTCCTGGGAAGAGGGAGTACAAAGGCGTGTGGCCCATGGGCTTCCTGTAAAAGATATCACCAAAGATTTTCTGAGCCATGTTTCCGACGGAGCAACAGCTAGGCCTTTGTTTGGCTTGGACCAGACCTCAGTGAGCTTATATTACAATCAGTCACATTTTCCTGAGTGCAGAATTACTGGTCTTGGGGAGATTTTCAAGAGACAAACCTCAGGACCAAGGTGTGGCAAGAATCACTTTAGCCATTTGTTTGCTTAGATTCAAGCCCTTGTCGACAAAGAGAGCATCCAAGTTGACAAAGCTGGCATACTTCACGGGAATTTTTGCTCTGGAGATTTCAATAGGAATGCGTACCGCTAAAACATTCCGTAGTTTGAAAGGACATTGTTTGAGTCCATGAAGTCCTATCTGAGGCAACAAGTGTATAAAATAGTATCTAATGTAAGGAAAAACCACCTAGTTATTGAAGTCACTATCTTCCTAAACTATCACCTCAGCGTTACCTGTTGCCCCTATTTAAAAATACTTGTGTCGTGGTTTAGGGTATCAGTTGAACTACAAGAGGGAGCACGAGCAAACCTGGACACCAGAGGACATCAATTCGACGCTGCGCAGCTACCGGGTCACCGATGTCCTCTGCGGGACACCGTACACGTTCTTCATGGTTGCTAGGAACAAGCTTGGGGCCAGCAAACCGAGCGAAGAGCTCGAGGTCCGAACCTTGGGGGAAAGTGAGTTATGGCACGATAGAGGAACTCATATAAAACTTTGCCGAGGAAAAGACAAAGTTTTTAACATGACTCTTGTACTATAGAGATCATTTCAACGCATATATGAATGTGATTGGGACTCACTTTCAGGCATCCCTAGTTGTGAAATCTTGAGGATTCAGATTTGACTTGAATCGTCTGTTGCCGAAAGTCATACTCCCAGCAATGATCACCTCCATTTGAATTCATCGTTACACATTGGCTTTCGTTACACTGATGCATCCATATAAAGCATTTCTGTCTTCACGAATGTGATTTCCCCATACAATGGGGAAAGGTGTTCCTCCTTCCAGGGCAGCCTCAGAAATTGCCAAACAAAAAGTTCTTTGTTCGTGGTTTGTCTTCAGCCAAATTCCATGTTCGTTTGTAAATGTAGTTCCGATTCCGCCGTCGACTGACAAGATTGTACCCTACTCCAACGCGACCAGCATTACCCTGGTCCTGAGCAGCTGGGGGACGGGCGGTTGCCCGATCCGGTCCTACAGCATCCAGTACCAGCACTTCGGTGATGACAACTGGGTGCAGGTGTCCAGCAACATCCCACCGTCCACGTCCAGGTACACGGTGGAGGAGCTGCACCCGGAGTCTTGGTACGTGTTCCGGGTGACGGCCGTGAATGGTGCCGGACCGAGCGTCTACTCGTTCCGGATAGCCACGACTGCCTTCGGGGGCGGTGAGTAAACTTTTATCCCGAGGTACTGCAATTTCAATAGTTATCATAAATGTCTATGAGTTTTATGCATCAAGCAAGAAATATTTATAATTCTTACGTTTACTGTTCCCTTTTACTCCTTTAACACATATTGATCTTGTAAGTAAAGCGATCACCTGTAGGTTTAATTCGGAGGCCTCATTTGGCTTCTGTAAACAAAGAAAACAAAAACCACTGAGGCGACATGTGAAAACGAACCAAGTTGGCCTTCAAAAGCCTCTTGTGAGGGAACAGCAGAATGTGAATAGATTCATTGGGATTATGTTAGAATTTTGATTTTCCTGCGCTCTTTTCCCGCGCTGGTCGAGGTTGTCAAACACAGCCGCAATATCCTATCGTCTCTTTAGTTGGTCGACTTGTTTGTTCATTTCGTGCCATATTTTGCAGGAACCGCAGCTCCCCTTGACGTCAGAATCGACCAGAGCACCGACGAGAACCAGCTGCTGTTTTACGAGAATCCCCTGCTCTTCGGTCCAGTCCTGGGCGGCATCACCCTCCTGCTTATCATCCTCTTCATCGGCCTCTTCGTCTTCAGCGCCCGCAAACACCGCAAGGCCGTGTTGAAGAAGGCGGCTATCAAGGAGGCCGAAACCAACCGGCTGGAGAACAACAATTTTCCCACTAAGTACGTTAAAAAAAGGATGTCAAAAGTCATGTCAAAACGTGGACAGTTTCGAGTGATGGCCATTTGTTGACAAGTGATCGATTTTCCGTGGTAACCTGTGAACACATCCTACCCTGGGCACTAAGCAAAATCGACCAGTGTGACAAGAAGTGGTCGTTGCCCAGCCTTAACTTTTATACCAACATAGGCTTGTTGACATTAATTTCAGGCAATCATGATCTTCTTTTTAGTGAATTTAGTGCAAGCCTTTCTTACACAGAAAACTAAAAGCTTTCGTGGACAGTGTGTTGAAGAACAGAATGCTGTAAATCACTCTGGTACAAGTAACAAATGTGTCACAGACATGACTAAAAACCTCAATGCAAACTTTTGAGTTCGTAACGAGTCTTTTTTCGGAGAATTTGTTTTAACTTTTCTCTTAGCCCATCCACTACTTTTATAACACATCGACTCCAACTAAATTAAAAGAAAATCTTCATTCGTTTGGGTTGGGCTGGGTTGGTCAGAACTTGGAATATGAACCTGCAGACTTGGTCCATCATGCGTCAACAAACCAACCCCGAATCTCCACATTTACATCTGATTCAATTCAGGAATCGGTTGAATTAACGTCGTCGATTCGATCCGTTACAAGAGCCAATTAGCTGTAACATTTCACATCTCATTCTAGCGCCAGGAGATACATCCGACCAGTAGAGGGCGCACTGGCCGCCGAACAGGAACCTTTCTTGAGCGGGGGCGTGGCTCCCATCAACAACTTGAGCAGCATAACTGCAGCCACGCCCTGGGTTTTCAACAGCAGCTCTGATTTTGGTAAGGATCTTCCGAGACAGCACGCAGTACTTATAAATGACAAAAGTTTCTTTTTCATAACAGCGTATCTTTGGACTGGTTGCAAGTGTACTACTATTTCTACTTGTCAAACTCCATTTGAAGAGATCCTCGGCATGGACACTGTTTCATAATATGTGATGACCTTCTCTCTTCAGATGGAGAAGCTCTAGAGGGCGCTGTTGGGGGCGACCCATACCTGAACTATAACCCGGACGACTCCTCTGACGTGCTGTTCCCCAGCATGAGCACCTTTCGGTCGACGGGGTCCGATGACGTCAGCATTGGCGACCTGGGACCGCATGGCGGCGCTGTGGCCGTAGAGAGACTTTACGACCTGCCGCCCGATTCGGAATACATGGGTAAGTTGGGAAACAGTAGATAGAGTTTACATCACCGGCACTGCAAAAATTGCAGTGCTAACTTAACACTAGCACTGTTAACCAACATGACCAAATCAACGCAAATATAATCCAGTTTAAATCATGCGGTAGATTGGGGTCGATAATAACACCACATGGTGTAAATCTAACACTGCTTTTTGCTACCTGCTCAAAATCGAATCCTTTAAAAAATATTTCAGTATTTTTTGCTACTCTGCTGAGATGGATCCTGGCCAAACACGAGTCTAAATGTAAGAAAAGCTGGTAAAAAATTACTGCGTTCACAGGAAATGAACCACGAGAACCATACTGTGAGACCCAATCTGCGACTTGATGTCAAGCGTGATTGGCGAGTGACTGACTTTACACAAGATCAAATGTGCTGGTTTATCAAGTCCTATGAGCCCCCCCCTTGAGTTTTGGTTGATATGAGATGTTCAAATACCACATTTATATGTAGATAATAATTAGACAATACTAAATGAGTTACATCATAACTCATGTTTGTTTTAAATAGTAACGAGAAAAGGCCAAAGTTAGGAGTACATATTTTAACTTTCTTTTCTTCCAAACGAGTCACAAACGTAGCTCTGTCTTATGAAGGCTATCAAATGTTACATAGAAAAAATTTCCAAATGTTTTTATCCTCCCCCCCCCAAAAAAAAGGCCTCGGAAAGTCTGATTCTCGATCCGCCGTTGGTTTGTAACTGTTAAATGTCTTGGTTCTTGCACTGTTGGCACTTCGTGAACAGTAGTTAATTCCTTTCTAAAGGCTGGATGACCTCATAAATACCTGTTTAATGGTTGGGTTTGTTTGCATTGTCTGCTCATAGGTACCCCTGGCAACCGTGCATCAATGTCATCCAGCCACGACTACGCATGCCTCGACGACATTCGACCCCACATGGTTCCCGTCGTGCCCAATCGCCCGCAGAATGTGTACTGCGGGACACCAGCGGGGACGACCCGGCCAACTCCCCCGCATACCCCGGGTGGTACTTCCATAGGAAGAAGAGGTAAGCTTGGGAGAAGCGATGGATGCATTTTGTGGTTTCATAATGTCTGTAATATTGTTATATATGTATGTTGTGTTCCGTTAAGACATAAACAAAAGCAAATGTAAAACTATAAAAGAATTTATATTGATGATTTCCGGCGTTTTATTGTATGAGGCATAAATCACAAAAATGTCAAGCATCAAAGCTTGTTCGATAGAAAAGGAGTTCGAAGAAAGCTTACCTTTACATTCGTATCTCCTATTAAGATGACTTTTCCGTAATACAAAGAGAGCAGTTGGACTTAGCAAGTACAGTGCTTTTCCATTCATAATTTTGCTCGATCCAAAGACGATTCAAGACGTCATGGAAAAGTCGTCAGTAATATCAGTGCTACCCCTTTTTATCAAGATGCGCCTTCAGTAGCTCAGGTTTCAGCTTTACGTTCGACTTAATTTCAGTCCCGTCTAAACGCGGAAGTCAAGCGTCCATCTGCACATCGGCCTCTGTGAGCGAGGAGCTGGCCTCGGCCTACGAGAACGCCTGCCAGTTGGAGCGGGCCCGTAGGAGGAACCCCCCGTCGGTGACTTCCCCCGGTGCCGTGTCGCACCCGGACAACTACGACTACTCCACGGCCAGCGACATCGAGGCCGGGATCCGGCGCTTCACTGCCTCCCCGCCGCTTCCGTCGGTGCCGGAGAGGTCGGACAGCTACATACCGCACCGTACCGTGTCGTACGTCAAAGAGGGTGAGCGTGCAGAGTGACCTGAATTCATCCCATTGAGACCCTAATAGTTTATCTCGCCGGCCTTCTCCGCGCACACACTTTTCCTTGATAGGAAAACGTTTGCTTCGTTTGCCACCTCCATTGCTTGTAGTTATTTGGGTCCGGAAAAGTCGGGGCAGGGGACAATCTGCTTCTGGCCTCTGTTCGTTTGGTCTACAGGGCAAAATTTGCTCAGGCCAAAAATGTAGAGTTCCGTAAATTGCAACCAAGCTCGTAGGTCCCCCAATGAAACATTTTCCCTCTGCTGAGTCACAAAAAGTGCCAATGATTTCTAGCTGAGGCATGACGCCTTCGAGACGCAAAAAGCCTCTGGAAAATTAGTTGATGAGCAGTTATCCGATTTGATTTGATTTGATTTGAAATTAGCCAATAATTCCATGGAAAGTAATGCCATCGTCTACATCAGAGCTTGGGAGCCAATCAAGCCGTCTCGATGACGAATTGGATAACTATGCCGTCCACTTAGTATTCCATGTGTGGAGAGGAATAGAAACAGTGCCAAGGAGTCTATTACTAAGGACCCCCCAGAAGGCTCTATAATCAGAGGACTGAACGCAGAGTGGCCTTTTTTATCTAAGCTTTTGCACTGACAAATTAAGTGAGCTAACCAGACAGCCAGGAGCTCTCGTTTCAGTTTTTGTCACCTTGAGCCAGCGTACAATGACCGCAGAATTTAAATGGATTTAGTACTTTGTTTCCAACCCACAGTTTAATGAAAACTTTATATGCCATAATCAAAGTGTTTCCATAATTTTTGTATTGCAACGTGCACTTTCTGTAATACAGGTTTCTCGCTGAATTTCCAAACTCTTGTTTTTGTGGACACAGAAAGTTATTAAAAGTTTTTTCCATTCTAGTTAAAAGTGGAATGTAAATGACCAATCTGATGCTTAATTATTGTGGATACTTAACTACGTGTGAATAAAATTTGCTATCACCTTTTATCCTTCTAGGTGCTCGCCCGAGGGAATATGTTCGCCGTGTAAGCACCACCTCTCCTCATCCAAGTGAGACTAGCGAGTCGGAGCAAGACAGGAGCCGGTTCCACGCCCAGGTGTACCGGCCTTCCCGTTACAAGGCCAACAGGCGTGGCCGTAAGGGCTACATGGCCTCGCGGCCGGTGATCAGGGCCAGCAGGGGGCCAGCAAGAAGACAGAGGCAGTAAGTTGTTTGAGTTAGCAGGAAACCCGACCCTCATCGTATACCCTTGTTTGAGAGTCAAAGATCCTGAAATCGCATTGTCTGCTAATTTGCTCATTTGTGCCTTGTTTTTGAGTTGCCAAGTGCTCAGTGAGCTTGCGCAATATACAAAGTCCAATCGAGCGTGGGGAAATAATTATATGTATACACATGCGCTGACCTCACGTCAGAGTTAAAAACAAGATGACACAAGGACGATCTTAGTCCCATTCCGTGTCACACATTTAAATGTTTGTCCGCACTTATCATTTACGCACCAAGGGGCTTAATACTTTCAAGTCTGTGTTGGTCTCAGCAATTTCAACACCCATGGCTCTTTCTCTCTACTTTTTTTTGCTTAGCAGTTCCCCAGTCATTGTCTATACACCTTTGCAGTGTTGATCACAAGATGCTTGTTATCTATGTACAAAGCTGTTCCTTGTAGCCTATTCTTTACCTGATAAAATGGACACCCCAGCTCTAATTAAAAATTATATCAAAGAGTTGGCAGATACTTTAACAAACAAAAGAGTTACAACGTTTATCGATTTATTCAAGCTTATTTTCCCATTAAACGGGTCTTGCAAGAATGTATATCAGTTGGATCTACTAAATTTGGGGTGTTTGACTACCTTAAATCAGCACTGTCCCTTTTTTTAGTTAGAGAACTCGCACGCCTGAAAAACCCTCCGAAAGTCATTATTTAAAGTAAACTGCACCGCTGAGGTATGCAGTGCCGCTTGCGGCGGTTGTCACTAATTTGTTTTTGGCTGCAAAAATCAGTAGTTTCTTAGACGCTTTGCATTGAAACTGACGACAGCAACCCCCTCAGCTGTAGAACTCAATTGAGTTAAAATAGACTTCTACAAAGACCTGACTTCATTAGTGTCGCTGCACCTTACAACAAACTTAAGTGGATTATTCAAGGGTGTAAGCTCAACCTTGGAGCAGGTTGACTGGTACCTCTTGACAGACAAGATAGCTGCTGTCTTTTTCATTAGCTTGTGTATGCCGAGAAAAGGAATGGAAATGAAAAAAGTGATATCGTATAACCGAAAATGATTGTTGCTCACCTTCCATACGGGTTTGACTACGTAAAACGATTTTAAAGGAGATTGAAAAGGGGATCTCTATTTCATAAAACGATATTGCACCTCTAATGGTATTAATAATGATGATGGCAATGACAAATACAATAAAAGATATTGCTGAAAGTTACTCTGATAAGACGAAGCATTTACGATGTTAATTACCAGTGATAATTACGAATACCTGCGGGGCTGCGGAATTCTGGGGAGATTATTAATTCGATTGGTAAAAAAAGAGAATTAAATCGGAAGTTGAACTAGATGAATGACAGTGACAAGAAATAGCAAATAAGATTGGCCTAACCAAATTGCGGGTGATATGTAATGACGATGACAGTGGTCTCATCTGAACTGCTCTCTATGTACGTGTAGGTTTGACAGCCGCAGCAGCACGCCTAGTTCAAGCTCCCCGGATTTCAGCGGATCGCGGCGTCAGATCGGCCTGCGGCACGACCCCTCCAGCCCCTCCGAGGGGTACATCTCGCTCCCCTACGACAGCTTCAGCGCCGCTCCCAGCGGCGTGACCGACAGCGACACGGAGCCCAGATGGAAGGGCTACCACCATAGACGAAAACCGCGAGAAAAGGGTAAAGACAATCATCATCATCTTCGCCGTAGCTGCAACTGTTCCCCTTTTCGTCACAATTCAAATAAAGTCAGTCAGAAGCATAGAGTCTCTGCCTGGGAAAGGGCAAATTGTGTCCATTTGGAATAGAGCCTGAAAGTAAAAGGTCAGGCAGCGAGCTTCCGGAACCCTCGCGCGGTTTGCCTATGGGGATTTTATATGGGGCCGTCCTATCACATTTGATATTTTTTGGAAGAATAATTTCTGACTGAAACCACTCCGCGAAACACTCATGGTCATTGGTCAATTTTTGGCAGGATATTTCTCTCTAAGGTCAGGTAATTGTTTAGTTGCTATAAATTAATATACAAGCAAATATTTTCCAAAGTCCCTTTTCCGAGTTGGGTTTTTTAAGAAGTAACTAAACAAATTTACAAATCCTGAAATCTTTACACGTTATTTTTCCTATCCAAGGGTTCCGGAAGCGCGCCATCAGGGGTCAAGTTTCAGGCTCTATTAATTAAAAGTCAACTGGCGATACCGTACGCGGTTTAGAAAGGATTCTCAGCTTAGGGGTACTTTTCATTTCGTCTTATTTACTCTTGGCGATCCAGTGATATGTCCTAGTCAACACAATAAGTCAAAATTGAGTTTGTGCCACTTACCTCCGAGAGCATTTTGATACACAGCGCTTTTACCGTCTCCTCTGGAATCAAACCTTGAAGGTAAAATGCGCGTTTTGTTATTTGAAGTAGGTCTTTAAATCAGATTAGGAAGTGGCAAAAACAGGGTTGAATGCTGGCTTTCACTGTTTGGGATCTCTGGATCTCTAAAAGAAAACAAGATTAAATTCAAAGTGCCTAGTAGCACAGTTTCGGGGGAATAGCCGCATATGACATGCAAGGTTACAAATGAAAAGGGAACGGCATTGTCGTGGTTTAGCTTTGATTCATAGAGTACATTTTGTTCGAACTGATTTTTCCGGCTTGTCTCCGAACAAAAAAGCTCACCCCGATAGCTACCAATGCACCAACATAACTCTACCACAAACACTTTTAACCTAACCGACTCCCCACCATCCAAATATTCCGGTTTGTAGCAGAGATTGACCTGAGAGTGTTGTCTTCTTACCCCTTTTTCTTCATTAAATGGTAACACTTGCTTTTTCAGGGTCTCTGAGCGAACCTGAGCGTGGATACGCCAAGAAACCCCCGCTCCCACCGGCCCACCGGCAGTCCGCCACGCCCGTCCCCAAAGTGCTTCACCCAAACACTAGGTATCACGTACCAAAGTACTCTGTCGTGAGTAAGGACAGGACGATATACGTCGGGCAGAAATGGGGTAGCAGAGAGCACCCCCAGTGGGAGGAGGACATCACACATGTTGGCAGCGGTGGGCCGAAAGTCGGGTTCGAGGACCTTCAGGCGGGGCATGAGGTCTCCTCGGACAAGTCCTCGTTCCCCTCCTGCTCACCACCTCCGCCGCCACCCCCGCCCCCCATGCGGAGGCACAGCCCGGACGGTAACGACCACTGCATGGAGGAAATCGAAATCCACGTGCTGTCCTCCACTACGTCCACAGACTCGCCGTCCAACTACAGAGACGAGATTAGTATAGTTTAACCGAGGACCAACAACCGAAGCAGTAAACCATTAGTAATAGATGCACATTTAAGTTATCGATGACAGAAGTCAATCGTTACCCTTGTAAAACTGGTGAACAGTTTGATGTCCAAGTGGACCAATAATAAGCGGCGTGGAAGAGATTGTGCCACCCAGTTATTTATGTGTTTTTAAATTCTACAGTGACATTTCACATCACCCTACCGACTTATACCAGCCTTTTTCCTTACCAGAGTTTCTCCGTCGGTAACCAAAGCACCATCCGTTTAATCGATTTCTCACGACCGTCTGACTACATCAAGCTTCTCGAGTTGAGTTTTCTGTAATCGTGCGCGATATTGTTATCTCCATTTACCATCCATTTGTAAATAAGATTCCCTTTTGTATGAGACTGGGACCAAGGGCGTACTGGAGGTTATCGGCAGGTAATGCAAGAAGCGGCCGATTTGGCGGAGGCTTTTTGTCGGTTTCGTCTTCGACTCGCAATGTACAGAGTGAGCTGATGTCACTGATTGATTACGGGACCACATGCACCGGTAGATTTGCTGAAATGGCAGCTTAATGTATTAACTTTGTCGTGCTGGTTTGAAATCAGCTTTACATCTTGAGATTGTAAACAAAGGACCACCTGCACCATTTTTGTCTGGAAACCTAAGTACCGTCGTTAAATCAAGACTGTCACATGTGGTTGGGAATATATCTTCTTAAACATACTTGTAGCTTTACCGAAACCATGGGAGCTGTGTCGAACTTGTATACAACCAGCAAAACACAGCTAATCACTTGATCATTAGTTCACGATGTTCATTAGTTGAACGGATCTCTACCAATGCCCAGACATACAGAAACAGCATTAGTGGTTGGGCACGAGCTGAAAGAACACTCGCTACCGACGTTATCACACCACTGCCGAGCCGCTGTCTTGTTGTCGTAACAAAGATTCCAGTTACTTGTCGGATGGCCAAGTACGCAACCGCCGATCGAAACCTACGATTTGCGTTTTAGTTATTCAGGGATTCAAATAGGATGAAGCTACTGGAGTGAGCCTCACCAGTGTGTACATGTACGTAAACAACCCACTGCAAAGCAGCATAATGATATTACCCCGGTCTCCCTTTAGTTAGGAATACTGTCTGCATTTCATGCTACATGTCAAATTAACAGCTATCGACTTGCTACACAAGGAACGCGAAGTATTGCAGACGAAGTGCTGAAGGCCTCAGTGAAGAGTGACATTCCACCCTAGTGTGCAAATTCACGACAAAGCGATCGATATTGTTTGTTTCGATTTCACAGTTGTAATGATCCTATGATGTAATATTTGCGGCAAACAGCAAGCAGCTGCAATTACAGCTGCAACAAAAATACCTGGTATTTTTTTCTTGCGAAAGAATACAAATCATCGCGCTTTCGTTTTTGAGGATCAGAAAAATTCGTTACAAAATTCACCAGTGTTGGTTGATTTGCACTCGATTTTATGACGAGTATAAACAGGCCTTTTAATAGGGCGGGCTTTGCCAATAATTTCTCGTTACCATTGGCTAAAAATATTCTGAGAATCCACGCGAAGTTAGGTGTTTGCCAAAGGCATGTATGGAAGACTGGAATCTAAACACTAGAAAATAATTGCAAGTTCTGTTATCGTTTTCTCTTTAAGTAGTCCTCTTACTAAAACCACAATTTTAAAAAGAATTCCGTCGCATTTTGTAGTCTTTGCTCTGTAGTTTAATTGACTTCTACAGGGTGTCTTAAGAAAAGGAAAACCGAGATAAATCTGTTTGTTTCTTGCAGGTGTCTATTTCTGTTTTGTTGTAAATTGTAAATTCATCTGTTTCAGTATGACGTTCTCTTCGTATTACCACCAAGAAATCCAAATTTCCATTATAGATGACTGAGCACAAACAGATGGCTTGGGACCAAATAGCTGTTTTGATGTTCAGTTCATTCTGTCCAGAGATGGCTTTATTGTCAGAATTACGTAATATCCCCAAATGCTAGACAAGCATTTAAAACATTGAGAACAGGGGCAGAAGATTGCGTTGAAAGAAATGGGGGTGGGGTAGAATAAGTCCCAAACTGTGGTTGTCTTTGAATTCATGATTTTAGTAGTATACGTCGTGCTTTTTTGTTTTCTCTTTAGAAATGCTTCGCGCTTTGCAAACCTATGATACCGCTTTGTGCAAATCCATTTCTGACACGGTCCATTAAGCCACTTGGTGCTCAGTGATGTATGGCGGAAACGTGGATTCTTGTTGTCATACGAAAGAAGACGACATATTGAAACATTTACAAAATGAATCAGTCACACCCAAGAAACCGATTAATTAATCTCGAATCCTTTTTAAAGATATCCTGTATAATGAAGACTCACAATAACTTCATTTTGCTGAGGAAATAGGACGGAATTTGCTTTCCAATATACAGTACATTAATGCAGCTTATTCCGTGGAGCATAGAGCCTTATGATCGTTACATAAAGAAACCAAAGCAGTTAGGTACGTTTACCAACCGGTTGACTCAACGCTTGACGGAAGTAACAGAAAGTCGGGTCTATGTTAGAAGCACACACCGATCATTTCGTTTCTTGTCTAACACCTTGGCCGACGTTCCGCTGCATACACGCTTCGACGAGTTGGATAGGTGGCGTTTAGGCGTTAAGTTGGTTACGGCTATTAGTACACTGACGTTCACGTTGGCGAGGAATCGTGCATTTGAAAGCTCATGCGTGTCTACCGACATGTCTAAATATTAATGCAATGTTCCAACAAAACTGTGAAGTCACTACCGGCCTGGCTGGTTACTCATGTTACCTTCTTCGTTGCGTATTAAATGACCACCACATGTTTGCGCTCTTTCTCTGGAAACTGTTGCTACATTCCGACAACTCCTATGAAGGAGAAACTGAGCGTAATTAACCCAAACGTAAACAATTGGTAATAAAATCCCCCATTGTAAAACGTAGACAGCCCGGGTTCGCATGTTTTTATTTTTAACAATATTATTATGCTTAATTTATCGCCGTTCGTCTGCATGTAACTCGACTATAGCGATCTTTCATGTTCCCTGTTGGGATAGGGCACAATTCAGTCCAAGCATAAGGTTCTTTACCGCTGTTGTGTAACGCGGTAGATGGGGGACGCTAGATTACATCAGCTGGTCTCGTTGGGCATCGCTGGCGGCCGGTTATCGATATCGTGACCTTGTGGCCTTGCGAAAATTGTATTTCTGACTCTGTGTTGCCTTCCTCCATTGTCAGTTAGGTAAAGGAGGGATCTCGATCGTTTGTCGCTCTTGAAGGCGACCGCACGTGCATAGCGTGTCTGATAAGGCGTTAACTGAGAAAGGACATTGCAATCGTTTGATCAGTCTCTGTCAGAGCATAAAGAGAAAGGTTTCGTGGTTCAACGGCTGACGGCTTTTAGAGAGGTTTCCATATGTGACTCTGCATGTAAATTTACCAGCTCTGGATTCAGTGTAAGACCTACCACTGTCCAGTAGAGGGATCCCAATGCTACGCTTTTAGCGTCGATCCGCGCACTTCCGCGTTTGAAAATGAGGCTGTATGTACGATCATACGATTGAAAGCAAGGAGTCAGGACACAAAATACATGAAGGTATGTTAAATTCAGACTGTTCAGGCTGCAAAATTTTGTGGAAGAGTCTTTCAGGATGACTTGACACGTAAAATCAAAAGAAGAAATAACGACAATTGACCGCGCACTAACGTACCTACGATGGTCATGTATCTTGTGCAGAGGGCGTGGTTTAAACTGAAGTGGCGTCACAACTACGAACCGGATACTCCATGTACTGCGTCGACTCCGCGGGCGCGCGCGAGGAAGTTCAACACAGAGAGCCTCGGTTTCGATGCAGATATGCGCAGACGGCGCTAATGTGAAATCCCTTTATATGGATTGCTAATATTATACTGTTGTGTTTGTGGGGCATGATGCAAGTCGACGTGAGCAGCCAGCACCGCATTGGCACTGCGCACGTGAACAGTCGATACGCACGCGTTACATTCATCTCCAACCAATTGGATGCTGTTACTTGTCGAATACACGCGCATGAGTGTGGTATGCTGTCTCTGTAAATTACTTCTGCTACTCGCTACTCGCTCTAAAATAAACAGGCATTGAACTAAAACGGAAGAAAAAGGGAGAAAAACACACTTAGGCAATGCATGTTTTAAAATGGGTGCGCTCGACTGCCGTTGTATGGATACGTAACATGACCCTGTCTCGGCATAAAAGCCATCGAGCTATCTTCTTCATCTTCGTTAGACCTTCTGTTGAAGCAGAACCGCCACCTGCGGTAAATGAGCGTGTATATGGCTGGGAAACCTTTCGGTGACCAGGTATAATGAACAATTTCCGATGTAATACCAAGGTTGCCGTGTGCGCGATTGAATTACGAACACGGTCCAGACTAGCAGCGATGTGAGTTGTCGTGTAGCATTGGTCTCTGTGAAAGCTGTCTTTCAGTCGCCTGTTCATTGCTAACCGGCCTTTAGATACTTTATGGTCTCAGTACAAGTTGTCTGTTGAAATTAGGTAGTTTAATGGGTTCTGCGAGCTGAGTCTTAAGTATGCTCCCATCTTATTTGCATTTCTTCGGTTTTTTTTCATATGCAGTCGGAAACATAAAAAAGAAATCAGAAGTGTCCATTTCAAAAAAACATGTTCATCTTCTGAATATTTTCGGTACCCGCTGCTAATTGGGACGTCGATCTGCACTATCCAGCAGGAAGTCATGGGTTCAAATCTCACCCAAACAAGGCAGTGATATCTCTGAAACTCAGACCATACAGCGTGAAAGTACTTCGGCGTGTGTGAGAGAAAACTTTGCGTACGCTAAGCAAAATATCTTTGATAACAAAACAAATAACTTGTCTATTAATCAAGATTCATTGATGTCCGTAAACACAAAGATATTCGTGTGGTCTCGTGACTTAATTTTCTTCTTTGGATGACAACTTGGTTTTTTGTGTCTTGACGGTGGCACCTTAAAAGCTATGGTTAAATTTAAATGCATTGCATTCGCTGAATATGGAGAATCGTATAACTGTTGTTTACATGTATTTAATGGTGGTATGGTGCTTGATATTATCCGCGTATTGTGTGTTGATACAACTATTATACAAGCGGTACACAGATTCTCAATTTTTTTTTATACAATTAACACAATTTAGGCCTACAAGCTTTTGAACGGCATTCTACACATGCAGTACATTACAGAGCGATAAGGTTTGGATGAGCTTTTGCATGTAAGCATAACTTATATAATTATTTGCATTTGACGCTTTGGAAACACTGCCATTTTATAAATGCTTTTGTACTTTTTTAAAATGTTGTGATCGTTTGTTCGTTTCTATTAGTGTACTTGTGAAGTATTATACATATTTAAAAACAAATACTACAAAAGCGTCTGTAGCTGCCAAATCCCGTTCAGTATTAAAAGAACATTTTCACCTTTATTTTTTAACAAATCAAAGGGAAAATCTTGTCGAGCCAAGCACTGAATTTGTTTTACTGTCAGTGTTGTCGACATGTAGTTGAGATGATGATGCGTAAATGACCCAGTTCTGTATTACCAACTGGCAGGATCATTCGGGAACGATGCACTCGTCGTCGTAGGGCAGCGCTCATAGAGCACCGGACCTCGCGCGCACGCGTGCGGCGCTGTTGCCGAATGGCGCCAGACACGTTTCATTTTGGGCATGCACTTGATTGTTCTAAACTGCGTAAATCCATGGAAAGAAAGACGTCACATCAGAGGGTGGGTTATGCGATGCGAAATTTTGTGATGTCAGGCGCAAAAAAAACGACGCATTGCTGCGATTGTTTCTGGACGTAGCAGTAGTTTTGTCACCGTTGAATTAAACAGTTCACTTTTGCTCGTGTATTTATTTGTGTGTCATTTTTCTGTTCAAATTGTAACATGCATGTTGCAGATTTGCAGCCAACATCCAACACAAGTCAATTACACCTCCCTCCACGAAAACTTTGTTCCAGACCTGCCCTTGATTACACCGCCATAAACAAAAGTTAATTACGCACCATGTCTGCTGAGACGTAAGGATGTGTAACTCACTTCCAGCTATTTGTTATGGTAACTCACCTATTACCTCATCCTGTCTACGATGTAACTTTCCTTAGCTTAGGCAGAAGAATGTTTCAGCGATTACAGACAAACTTCACACAAAATGATAACGGTTTTGTGAGGCTTTTGAAAAATAACTTGCAAGACAAATACGTTTTTTGCATCAACGGAAATGTGTGTCAAACAAGCCCATTCGATATCAGCACCTTCCTGGTGATCTTCGCTGAAATAGTAGTTATCCATGGTCATTCCAGTGACTGGATTAACATTGTACTGCAAAGGACATATAAAAAGAAAACTAATCGTGTTTAATGCCTTTTTATATCTTTGAATCAATCTTAAATGCTGTATGTGCAGTGCATTTTATACTTTGGAAATATAATTTCCGGATAACTGTAAGTGGAATGTGACAAAATTGTAAAGTTATTCAATGCTGTTGTTTTGATAAGGCGTAAGAAACCGAATAACGCTATAATATCTTATAATATGTGTATTCAGACAAGTGTCTTTAAATATTATCTGAAAGTTTCACATTTTCTGTGCTGTTCTGAGTGATTTATTTGACCAATTCCATTTTGTTATTTAAGTGTGCTATCAAAAATGTATTATAGATGTACATTTAACTTATTTCTAATGATACGACGTTATTCGTTTAGTAATGTGTCAGTTTTCAGTTATTACTTTTGGCTATTGCCTGAATTTCTCCTGCTCGGAAAGAGTCAGTGAAAGTGCCCGGCAATTATTAAAGATATAAAGTGCATTAAAATGTAACAACGTTTTGTTTGTTCTACATGGGGTCTTGTTTCTTTCTTAACCGCAAACAGCTTGGAGAAGAAACCAGTTCCTTATATACACCTGTCTCATGTCTTCTAGTATCTATCCCCATCTATCTCTCTGAAAACTCCTGTGTACCTCCCCAAAATCTTCCTGATATCTCCTTGATACGTTGCTTGGACACTTGTGCTGAGGTAACCGAAAGAAACCTGCAACCATTATGTTCTTTGGCTAACACCCCGTACACAGGAGCCGTAGGAGAGGCAGCGTATACCTTGTCGTATATCCCTGACCGTTTATCCTTTTCATGCGCAGCATAGGCCTACCTTTTCAACCCTGGGCAAAATAATTTCCCTGCTGATGGTTTTTGTGGTTGCCATCCATCTAAAACGGCAATTTCATTAAAATCAAATTTAGACGTCCAGGTGCGTCCATCACTCAACGAGGATTCCGCTCGTCGGTAGTTTGACTTTTAGGAAAGGAGACAAAAACAGATATGAAGGTTTCTATACGCTCTGTGATCATGGATGGGATTGCTCGTATACAGTTTGCATTGAATGTGTCTGTTATTGTTCGTCACAAAAAAAGCAATTGTGAACGGCCTGGTGGCCAGACATCAGGGCAAAGTTGCCCGAGTAGAACAGTACTAGAAATTCGTTCTCAAACTGCAGTCAACAATATCAGTTGAACTGAGTGAACGTGAGTCTGAAATACGCAGTGGCGGAGACCCATGGCTTCCTCTGCAGGCTACAATGTCGCCGAAGTACAGGGCCTCTCGAGTCTTCCTTTCGTTGTTCTGACCTAAGCAAACCTAGCGTTTTGGGTTTGTAACAATGTAACAATACTTTTATGAGACCTGAGATGAGTCATCCGCTCTTAAATATAATTTCTCATATATTTTCATAATTTTCCGTACTTAGGGTCGTTTGATAAGTGGTCGGTTGATTTCGAGTTGGATCCTGCCCGAATGAAGTGTCTTGCGCCTCTGTTTCTTGTTTATGCTTTACGGGCTGCTCTCTGTGGGGTATGTGGTTTAATGGTTACTTATTCAGTCTGCCAGTCGGTTAATTTGGTCGGTTAGTCTGTTTGTTTGCTGAGTGAAAATCCTCGGTCACACTACCCTGAATCAGATGCTTTTCATCACTTTCGCCTAGTATTGGCCACTTTGGCGAAAAAAGATAAAATAAAAAGGGGCTGAGACTGTGCACAAGGCCACTTCAAAATGTCAGTTTGTAGGGCAGTGAATTTCCCTGGTTTGTCAGAGTCACTCTGTCAAACAGCCTGTGTTTGATTATCGAAATCGCCACCATTCCTGCGTTAGCGTGGTGGGGCTGTAAGACGCTGGCCTGATACGTGCTTGTTAAAATCTAAAGTACATATCATTTGACAAGTTTGCGTGTTTGTTACAAGTCCAAATTAAAACTTAATTTGGAAGACACCAGAACAGTTAAAAAAAATCAGGGGTGAGTTGGAATACTCGGTCTTAAAGGAATTTGTGCGCCTTAGCCATGCAGTGAAGGGCTTATGTTAGTTGATCTATAGTTTATACAGGATGTCCACATAAAAAGTATACCGAGGTAAAAATTACTGTAATGGCAAAATTACTTTATATATGGGAAAGAGAAATATATCTCCAGAAAGGGCAGAATTGCAATGGCATACAGCTTGTGATGTTATTGGCACAGATGAGTGAACAAACTCGACCGGTGTTAAGGGTACTGAAATCGGCACTGTGACAAGTTTGCATAATTATGTGATTATCAGGGCTAGACCGTGCAAGTGTGCAGAATATCATTTTCCCTATAGAACCAAAAACTTCAGCCGACATTGCAAAACGTATTGAAAGTTATTGGTAGATTGATTCCGGGGTGTTTCTTTGGATGTACCGAAATTCTAAACAGTTAGTCAACAACGACAATTAA